CCCTTGATTTCATAGACCACGTTTTAAAGTCATAGTGATACATGACAAATTCCTGTAGAGTATTTTCACCTCCTCGTTGACAGGCAAAGATCTCGTCTGGGTTACAAGAAGCTAGTGTCAAAAATGCAAATGATAACAGTGAAAATGTACAACTTATGTAAAATTCCCCACATATTTAAATCCACGTACCACATTAGCAAAGACCATTGCTATTTGTGTTGTATCATCTTTAGACTGAAGTATGTAAGATAACAGCTGGAACATTGGTGTTATACCAGACCCGCCACAAATCATATTGACATGTTTCACTTTTACAGGATTAGGTGAACTACGTAGATCCGGCTTTATATGGAATAAACCTAGGTGTAAGAAAAACAAATGCAAAATATTGACAGCCTTTTTTCACAAGGTCGGAAGCTTTCATAAATAAAATCTAATCGATTTTTGATTTTCGTAGAAACTACTCAATATGTTGTTATTAAGGCCATGAAAGGCATGAAATCAGAAGGGTACAAGGGTTTCCTGTCAACTAAATCCAACCATACAGAATCCCAACGTAGTGCAAATGATATCGAGTCACCTGAACGAGTAGCCGCACTAATTTGGTTGATAGAATTCAGTCAGCACTAAAATGACAAGGCAAGCATGACACTGGTAACTACTTAGTGATCAATCAATTTTAAATACCTCAGGCCTGTAGAAGTCAGTTATCGCTCGAATGGCCTAGTAGTAACATCTCATAGTGCAAAGCTGAATGACACGGGTTCATACCCATTAAGCAGCATCAGTCTCATCAAACTAGAGGAAAGGATTGCAGAACTGTTAAATGGTACGAAAATTAGTTCCAGGGTTTTCTGTCGACTTCCTCCAAATACCTGACATTGTGCCTATTCGCTTATTTCTTCCAAATAGCTACATATATAAATGTCCAGATACAGTGAGTGAGACTTTTATTTAGCTGTTGCCAAAATATACAATAAGCAAACCAGTTAAAATAAGGATTCACCATTCGTATTCTCTTTAGAATATATGAATTAATAAACAGTAATAAAAATATTATATTTAGCATGAAGAGAACCGAAAGCGGAATGGTAATAAATAACTAGTTACCAGTCAACATGGATTGGAATCCTAACACATATTGAACGCTTACAGGTGATTGTAAAAACACAATCTTAAAGCGTCATCGATCTTGAGCCATATTACCTGAGTTATCCAACCACTGATTTACACTAACCCCAATACTACATCCCAAACATGAAGTTGACATACCTGTACGTGATAAAATTCAATTATTGCAGATATTGGCTTGACCATCCCTAACTATTTACTAACCAAACCCTACTCAAGAGAGAATTACAACGATTACCCCCCCCCAAAAGAAACAAATCCTAGTCCGTAAAGACGTATGATATTTTCATCCGATTTTTTATTTTAATTTGGTATTCTACATATCATCACCAGCATTACTCATTCGGCTGTTTTACGGAACGCAAACAACGCATTTAAAAGAATGTCTTCTTCTGAAAGCTATGCAATACTACAGAGCGGATAGCTTGGGCCAAAACAATATGGTTTCGTTAAAACGAAAGCGTTTTTTGTCTGGGTTGATCAGCAAGATGTTGCAAAAAAATATGGCAATTTCTTCCGAAATATCTGGAAATAAGCAGATGCTGCTGACCGTGAGGCTACACTCTTGCATCAAGAAGATACTAAATAAACTTAATATCACTACTATTATTGGGAAAATAAGTGGAACGATCAAAACACCTGACTACTTCATCCTCTGTAATCCAGACGAGGTACTGATACAGATTAGCCATGAACTAAAATATTTTTGTGCACCTTATCACGATGAATCTTGCAGTAGGAAGCTAGTTCCTTAAAAATCAAAAGAAATTACCAACTCTGGAAGTATATCTGATGTAAATCTGGATGAATGGGCAGTATCACTTGACGCAGTCAATAATGGCCAGTTAGTTGCAGACGTTAATTTGACTAACATTGTATTATTATTATTATTTTAACACATAAATATTGGTACAAAGAGGCAGCAAACAGATGTGCGCATCATAAATCATTCGATTCATGTAAGGGCTGTGATACTGCCCAGGTATCCAAACCGAAGCAGATGGTTTTCTTAGGGGGTCACTCCCCGAGCCTTTGACCTAAAGGTCTGATCCACAAGGCAGTGGAGCATCGTAAGGAGATGCAGTCCCATGGTAGCCGGTGACCAACGATTGATTCATACGCCATTTGTTCCCACAGGATACTGGAGCCCATGTGCACCATTGGTTTGGAATCCGGTTAAAGCGCCGGACATTCGCTTTTCGTCCTCTCATTTTCGTGAACAACACCCCCGCCACGAGAAGGCAGTGAGTAGGACTTTTCTGGCAGAGGCTATATACGCGTGGCCGTGTGAGAGCATTTCGAGAGAGAGAGAGAGAGCAAACTCTCCCCACTCTCGGCCATACCAGGGCATTTGGGGGCTACATCTCACGTCGCTCTACTGCCTCGTGGATTAGACCTTTAGGTCAAAGGCTCGAAGTGTGACCCCCTAAGAAAACCATCTGCTTCGGTTTGGATACCCGGGCAGTATCACAGCCCTTACATGAATCGAATGATTTATGATGCGCACATCTGTTTGGTGCCTCCTTGTACTAATATTTGTTTAAATAAACAAAATAAATCTGTTACTTTGGCTACCCAAAGTCGAGATCAATGAGTACCATTTGTTCCTATTTTGTAAGCATTTTCAGATATTCAGAATGCTGATTCATTGTTCCAAGGCATTAGGAATTATTATCTTAAGTAATACTGCAAATACATGGTCTTGAGATTAATTTTCTTTTTAACGTATTTCTGGGATTATGATTTATCTCTTGATTATCATATAGGAATTTAGAAAGGTTCTTCTCATTTAATTCCTTGGGGTTTTAAGCTCAATGATAATTTTGAAGGTGGCTTCGTGACTAAGCTCTACAAGAGAATAGTAGTGACATGCACAGACTGTATAATTCACTGAATGGGTCTGAACCTCTAAGAAAAGTTCTTTTATGTTTAAGACGTCCAACTAATAATTCTCAGAAATTATGTAAAATTGCGTCAAAGAGTTTCCACTTCTAAATCAATGCAAATAAACATTCTCATCCTAGTCAGAGCATGTTTTGGTTTATATCTAAAGAAAAACGCTTACCATTGAAATATGGTTCGTTCTTATTTAGTCACGTAAATATTTTTTAGTCGAAAGGCAGTTTCTACCAGTCGGTATGCGCTGAAAACTGTTTTCTACATTTTTAAGTAGTGTAGTGTATTATAATAGGTCCATTGACAGCGTAAATCGACAGATTTCAGCTAGAATATATTTTAGCCCAATAATAGTAAAAATAAGGTGACCCAAAACGACTGCAGCAATAATAGAAAGGAGTTACAAAAGCCACTAGAACATACCACACCCTTTGTATTCCAATTTTCCAGATGGACCACGAACATCAATAAATCCATCGATAGGGAGACTAGCCAAATATTGTGACATAACTCCACCTTTGGGAAATTTAGGATTAACGTTTCCTTTATACACCTAAACAACAATAATAACGTTGAGTTATACGAATAATAATCTGCACTTTAAAAATGACGAGATCAATCAAGTGGTTGGTACAGTGGTACTTCTCCTTAAGACAGTAACTAGAGAACTACTGGGTGATTAGTCGACGTATGCCGTACTCAACAGCATTGTGATGTTGAACATACTTATGAGTAGTCGTACTTTAAGCTTATGAATTCTGCACCCTATGAATCGAAGACATGGTATCTTAAACTGATGGACAACCTACTATTAAGTTCAACAGCCCTAGTTGCTTTAACAATATGCTTATACTATGCTACGCAACCCTTTTTCCTATTTTAGAGCTATTCCTCCATATAACAGTGGATTTTACATTTTGCCGTGCATTGTAGAACCATATTCTAATATCAAGACACGAAAACAAAGTCAGCTGGCCTACATCAGATCACCATAGAGATACCAGATAATGGGTGACATGTAATACGAGGCTGCTGACACGTAAATAAAAAGGTGAAACAGACTGGTTGGTTGCTGCTGCCACACTTTATATCAGAACAGCATGAAGAAATCAACGGAATATGAAGCAGATTATATTAGATATCCACTTCGGCTGAAAGCTGGGTAGAAAAACATAATTCTACAAAAACTAATGAGATCAGCGAGTGGTAATAACTGGGTGGTATTATTATCTTGTACAATCCATGACTATATACTGGTAATAAAGAGAGGTTATTGTGAAGATAGTGAAATTTAGCTCGACTGCCTTATCAGATTTAACAGTGGTCTCTTCCTAAAACCAAAATCTCCTGTACTATGACTGCCTCCAGAATTGGTCTGTAAAAACTGGATGACCATCGCTTAGATATAATGCAAAACAAACGAAACAATTATGTACACTGGAAATAGCAGAAGTATGTGACTGACCTACAATATGAAGACTTACTTTTATGACAAAGTCAACATATCCTTTTTGGGTGTCTAATGTGATCGGAGTGTAGGGTCGAACCGCCATGTTCCCATCAATTTTTGCACTGAAGTATACATGATTACCTAAAAGGAACGGTAACTAATTGGTTAAGAAACTTTACCAACAGGTAATCCAAGAACATGGTCAGCTGTGGGGAGACCTAGTTTTAGGCGGATTGTATCATGAGTGATGAACTAATTTATGGGGCTTAGAAAAAGATACCCTACACTTCTATCCACTACTCGTAAAGGAATTTTCGTATCACTATCCACAAGAGTTCTTTTCGGCTTCTTGGGCCTGAATATTAGTCCCAATACGACACCTGAAATAGCAACAACTGCCGATACTGAAGCAACAACAGCAATCTGAAAAAGAAATGCATCATAATAAACAGATGCTAACAACAGCCGTCGTGTTCTGCGTCATGTTGGCAAGGTATAAACGGTAATCCCTTTCAAATCTGTCCGCCGTTTCGTTTCAACGACCTTGAACGCGCTGACTGGGAGCGGGCATTCCGTATTTCAATTGCCGTGTGTGTGTTGGGTCCTATGAGTATTAAATGTTTCCATATATAAGTCATCTTTTGATGCATAATAAACACTAAATAACTGCTAAGAGCATTAACTGAGTATTTTCTGTTTTGTAGTGCACACTTTAGCTCTGTTGTTCCTTCGAAACTTGATCTGTGGTCCTAAGTGCTGTAGTGAAAGTCAACAGCTATATATAATTTGTTGATAAGGTCCAGAAAACAACGTAAGAAAGATAAAATAACGTAAAAGGTTATAGATGCGCATAGTTTTTGTGAGTTAAGACGAAATGTCAACTGAAGGGTAAGTCCTAAATATTTGTTGTTCTTCCTTCAGTTAATTTTTTTCAAGGAATAACCTTTTTTTAATAGCTATTGTATGTTGTCTCTAGTGCTTCATGCTCAGGTGAAATTTCAGTGAACGTAAGCGACGCGTTCCAACGTATTATGCTGAATAAGATTCGGAAGCTGGATTGAATTAGATAATGCGCTAAAGGATTTCCATAAAGTATGATGGGATAAATCTATGTTTTCTCAGATGACCCATACACACTATGTTCACGCAGAAAGTAGATTGTTGAAGGATGTGAGATATAAATACTTGTTCGTAGTGTTTCGTTGCACGTTTGGTCGTAAACGTAAATCAGAAGGTCTGAATGTGATTAAAAAACCGTGAGGACTCTAACTAATGTGTTACCTTTAAGGTCTAAATTTTTAAATTGCCAATCGATGTTTCGCGTAAGATTGGAGGGTCAACAATACGTTATAAAATCTTACGACATGACTCACAACCATCCGTGTACTAGTTCGTGGATGGTTTGTGATCCGTTGAGTAGACGATTGTCATCAGAAGAAAAAGAAAACTTGAAACCAGTTATATTGCACTGTCAGTCGACGGACGAAGTTATCGAAAGTATTAAGGAAAGAACAGGTATATATATATATATATATATATATATATATATATATTTCAGGTTGGACTCGGAAGCAGGTATTGCAGATGATGCGACAAAACGGTCAAGTTAGAGAGCATGCAGAAAATGGATCTGTTACGGCGGTATGCTTCAGCAGTTATGATCAGATACAATGCAATTGTAGCACGTTTAATATGTGTCGATATCCGTGCCGCCATCTCCTGCTGGCATATATTAAAAGACGAAGTCTAACAGGTAAGCTATTTAAATTATAAAATATAAACTGCATAGCTCATCAACTTCTTAGGTGTTGCTGTAGATGGAAATTAGACAATACGCACAATTTACAAAACAACACAGTAATTTCATTACGGAGATGAAGTAAAGAATATATACAACTTCAACGGCTCCAAAGAATGTGCAAACAACGAATTGTTGAGAAATATGGTGAACGCTTCGCGAATCAGGTAAAGAGAAGGGTCTACAATTTTTACTTAAGAATTATAAACAGCTAGACAGCAGGTTTACGATTAACAGTTCTTTGTGGCTTTATTTTATACCACTATTTATACAACTTGTAAACTTATCTTTCCACTTTAGTAGTCATGAAAAATCAATAAACTTTTTCTCATTTTTTATTTTCGTCTTCTTCATACTTTCATGGGGAGGTTTACCAATCGCTTTAACGAATAATTGTGTGTGAAAATTAAGAATTTGTACTACTGTATTAGTTACGAACTGTCGTTAGAACTTAGCGTTATATCGTTGTTCATTGTCAGGAACAATAATGCGACTTCCACGTAAAACCTTACAGATTAAACAACCGCCTTACATATTTTCCGTTGTCAGATTACGTCCATTATCAAGTTAGTATTAGTATGGGACTAGACAATTTCATGCAGCTAGTTCCTTGATAAGATGGATTACGTAATCCTTAGACCACCCTTCCACTCACACTTCTTTGCTAAATTATGTTAACTCTTCAGATTGTCTTCACTTATCTTATTAGTTCTTAATTCAATGATTTATTCATTACATCTAGAATTATCACACAATTTATCTTATATGCTTCTGAGCTTCACTCGACTATTACACCACCCATCCTTTATGTTCCCTTAAGTCTAACACCAAATGACCTTTGACCTGTTCAAGCATATACATATGTATAGTTATTATTGATAACCTAGGTCATTCCAATTCTTTGCTTTCTATTATCTTTCATACTATTTCTTCCCTCAATCTTAAATTATAATGCATATTCAGTTGTATGCAACTTATAAGAAACCACGAAATGTAATGCAGTCACATGATTGTGCGTCAATATTTGTTTCGGCTTTATTTAGACCATAATTATACAAACTTACAGGATTTATAATATAAAACACTGCGTATGGTTGTTATATTTATATTTAAATAATTCATTAGATGAATGAGCATAGCAGTAGGCAATATAAAACAGTTATCGTAAACTTGTAAACCGGTTTTCCACACGATCTTCCGTAATCCTAAATTCCATAAGCTTCATACTATTCTGAAAAACAACAAATCCGTTTTGAGACAAACAATTAAACTTTGTTCTCAGTATCATATTCAATAAGTTATTCAAATAGCAAGTAACAGACTGTGCCTATAAGTCTTTTATTAACAAGTAGTGACATTCATTCATAACTTCCTAAGTAACACAACAACTGTATTACCGAAACGGAGTGAAGAGTATATAATAACTCATTTGTGAACCCTATAACAGACACGTCACAAATCAGTATTAACTAAAAAACATGGTTGTGTCACCATTCTCACAAGAAACACCGATCGTTTTATTCATGAAGATTTCGTTCCTACTTGATGTGGCGTTATACACTATTACTGCAGACATTCAGAAAGCCGCTGGACAACACTATAAACGTCAATTGTTACTCACATATTTTTTTACGTTACATAATTATGTCACTTCAGTACAAAACAATGGTACGTCTAATGGATATAACTTTTTATGGCTAAATACAAACAAGTTATATAATATTCACAATTTGGTTAACGCTTGATTGCTTTTACTTACATTTTATAAACAACTACCGACATCCATGTTCACCGTCACCGCAATCAAGGAGGTGAACCATATGTAAAAGATTTTACGGTTCATTTTCATGAAAACTCAATCTGTGATGTATTTTTTGACTAGAAACACGGTGAACTTTACTTGCTTGAGTTTGTATTGTTACAAATAACTATATTAAGCTAACTTCAGATTTACTTACGTGGTGAGCAAGAAATACGTCAAACTGCCAATAAATTGGAATAAAAACTATGTTACAAGCACTAGCAATACAGAAATTGATGTGTCATGCAAAAAAGCCTGTTAATAGCTGATAAATAACGACACAAAAAATCCACGACAATATGTAACGTGTGCGCGAAAATCCCTGGCTTACCCGCTAGTCCGTGCCCGTCATGTTCCAACCTCGACAAACGAATAACCGGGTTTGACTGACAGATGACCATGATGTCACAAAATTCCCTTTACTGTACTAAAACTAAATGAATGTCAAAAGCTGAGACAGTAGTTTTTGTTCAGTATCAACATGATTGAACCGGATGTTATTTTTTCCTAATAGAATATATAGATCATCATTCATATATATCTTCTCATACCTTCGTTTTAGACTTCTCGCTCTGTTACTTTGGGATTCTTATATATGAAGAATTGTCAGACAGTAGCGTTTACAAACACTGCGTAACCGTAACATTTTTACTTGCCCTAAACTTAAAGGTGTATTAAACCCTATTATGTTCCTACTTATACCATGGTGAAAACCATGTAAATTAAACATCTGCTCATCATAAATAGCAAAAGAGGTCAAGAAACTCCTAACACATAGGAGACACTTGAACATCCTCAGCTCTACAGGTAGTGAAGTATTCAAATCCATTTACTGTAGGCCTAAGACAGAATGAAATGCTTATAAGTAACTACATACATTTATGCTAAAAAATGAATGATTGTATATCCGAAATAAGCCATAAAATGTCACCCCGCTATATAAAGAGACAAAAGTAGAGGTGTGATGAAATCACTCCACTTCTACTCCATAAAGTTTACTGGCGTTTGTGTGCAATCACTCTTACAGAGCTGAGGGCTTCTCAAAATGTCTTCAGATAACGACGCTAGGAGGGCGGCCGCTAACACTGACAATGGCGATGTGTCCTTTGTTCTTTGAGAACGGAGGTTTGGCAGGAAGAGGACGTCGAGCGGAGTTGGCTGGAGGGGCGGTGTTGACTGTACCAGTCACTATCGAGAGAGAGAGAAAGAGAAGGGGTAGAACTGGGACGTCTTGTGGCTGGACCGATAGTGGATTTAGATATCCCGGCAGATTGACACTGCTACGGAGATCAGAGCGCTGGCGGAATCGACATTTCGAGGTGATGTTTGGCACAGGCTGCGAAAAAGAAGGACGTAGCGTGGCGAGTAGGACGACGGCGAAAGTGACTGTCGCTCAAAGGAGGGACAAGTGCGGTGTATGATACTTATACTGACAGCTATACGTAGTATGTAGCCACAAACAGGAGCGGGAATATTGGCGTGAATGATAACGCAAAGGTGACATGAATATGTATTTGATGTATGATTTTCATATTTTACTAAGCCACTGTGTAATTTCGCATCCAAAATAAGATCGGTTTACCCTGCATGAATTTACCGTAGGTGAGTTACGTTGAAATATGAAGACCAATAAGCGGTGTGTCCAATAAGATAAGACTACAGGAATGCACAAGTGGACCAGCGGTTATTAAAAAGAGAACTCCAGAAAGATTGTAGCAACGGAAATCAGTCACAGAAATATTCCCAAAGTTACACATTAAATGGATTGGTGTATCCAAGATTGATTTTCATGAAAACTCTGTAATCATAATAAATAATCACTGTAGAACTCAGAGTAATGTTAAGACGGCTGTTCCAAAAGTTTACAACCCTTAATGACTGCGAATATGTCATAAGGAATTGTCTAGGATAGTATATCTAGTTTGTTTAGCTCAAACCTCAGAATATGAGATACAAACATCGAATTCTTGCTTCGGATTAAAAAATGCTATACCTGGAGGACCTTGGAGATGAGAGGTCAAAATAACTACGGGTCTTTCTGGCTTACCGTATGTAGTTAGACTGAGGTCCATGAACCTATTTTCACCATCTTGTGGCTAGTAATGAGGTGCTCTAATACTGGCTTAACAATAACTGAAAAACGATTATGGTATCGATATGTCTCATCTTTCTCTTCTGTCAGAGATTAATCAGGAAGACGTTCACAAAACGTTCGAAAGTACAGATTAACTATCTAAAACTGTAATCTCGTATTTTGTATCCAGCTGTGAATCTTTAGAATTCTTTGTAGAAACATATGTCATCGCATCCTGCCGGTAAGTCCAATAACTTTAGGTTTTTACAGTGCCTCAAATCACTAGGACTAACATGGATCAACTGATCTCCTGTCCTTATATTTTATTATTGAATACAAATCGTTCTGGATCCTAAAACGAACAAAATCCAACCAAGTGAAGTTGACTCGTGTATTACCATTCGAATAACTCTTTTTTATATCATCTATCCAAAATTAGACCTAATTGTTTACCGTCATATTATTCACAAAAAATTATCAACAACTTCATCATATCCTGGCTCATGGGTTTTGAGGGGATTCATATATAGAACTTTAAACGCGATCAATCTAGTGTAGTAACTTGTTCCGTGAGTTTTAATCCAGATTTATAATTTCAGAAAGGTAAGTTTGATATACTACCTAAGCCTGAGCGCAGCCCCCATCTACTACATTCGGCGCAGTAAAGGTCTTAATATAGATAAATAGGCCTTAATATGTTTATTGTAATGTGATTGTGGTTGTAACTGAGGCTCTTGACCAAGTTCAGGTGTTAAGCCTTTCTACTCTTGTCAGTTATACCAGAATCGAATGTGTTCGTTCACTGTGCATTTCTGTCATGTTGTTGCCATTGTCCCGATTAAAGTTTGTCGTGGTTGAATTGGGACAAAAAAGCTAACAGTTGATATTGACGATATTTTTTATTGCAAACAATAACTTGTAGACTTTCGTGTCTTGCTATTCGATAAGCAGTTATCTCTCAATAACTGTGATGACGAAGTTAGATCCTTGTGAAATCACTGGTTTTCGTGATCTTATAGATTAAAGGATAAGTTGCAGGAGCATACTCTTAGGTCTGTATGTAAACTACAGCAATGGATTCAAGATGTTGATCAGAGAGCTCCCATATATGTAGTTTTTGAGCAGTAGATTTATAGTGGTATTAGTCATAACCACACAATCCTCAAAGTTGAACGTGAGATAACTGGGAAAATAGATATACAACACTTAACACGAAGTGAGGGTTAAACATGATGAATGCGGAAACTCACTCAGTTAATTCAATCAGAGAGCTTGGCTCAGCCTCTCAGACATGATCATTTTGTAAACGTTATCTGTACTCACATTAAATATATTATTCTATTTTTAGCCCAAATGTGTCCCTCAAAAGTGCTAGACATCATAGTGCTGATTCCTACGATACGACGAGTCGGAGTAGATAAAGATAGGACTG